GGGGGCCAAGTCCCCCCGCCCGCCCGACGCGGTCGGTGCAGCCCACGCTGCCCACGTCCAGACCCGTTTCCCAAATTCAAGGAGGTGGGAGGGGCGGCGCGTGATTTTTCTCAAGCAGGATGGGATGGACAAGGAGCCCAGGGTTTCTTTTTCTCCTTGTTCTAGATTCTGTACCTCTACCTGAGTTCTTAAGATCTTGGCTAAAGGGTGGGAAAGTATCCGTCGAATCTTGTCCCAAGAGCCAGCACCTCCGGGGAGAATCATGTACTTTGAAAAGCAGAATAAATTCTGCTGCCGTCTTCCTTCTGGCGGCATGCTCAACCTAGGACCCCCACGACCCCCTTCCATTTACTGTATCTTCCTTCCTTCCTCCCAGACCTCACGGGTAGGATTTAAAGACTGATGCGCCGGCGCTTGGGTGGTCCGTGGATGTCGGATCCTCTGGGGGCCATTTTTTAGTGCAGTCGCTCACTAGTTGTAGTTTCGGTTTAGCAGAGGCAACATGAGCCTTATCATCGTCTTGTTCTGCAAAGAATCTAGAGGTTGTAATAGTTTTTTAAAAATATATTTTAAATTATAAGCTTGCTTGTTTAAATAGTTTAGAGAAATCGATAAAAATAGAAGTGGGAATCTCTGTCTACCCCTCACCCCTACTCTCCAGAGGTAAAACTGGCTAACAGCTTGATTTATTCCCTACCTCCATTACTTTAAAAAACCAAAACAAAGCAGACTTTAAAATTGTGTTTATATATGCATGATTTTTAAAAAAAACAAAATGGGATTATACTTTAGACTTTTATGCAACTTTTCCCACATTCTACTAGTCATTGTTCCTATCAGTACATTGGTATTAACTATATTCCTTATAACGGCTGCATGGTGCAGAAATTCATTTTGAGTGTACCCTTAGTTTTTCAGCCTCCTTTTGAAAGGTATGTAAGTTGTTGCCAGTTTTTCAACACTTAAAGCCACTTCTGGGAACGTGGTTATACAGATACTTACCTGTGCTGCTGTGTCTGTACGATAAAATACCCAGTTGTGAAATCTCTGAATCAACAGGTATCAACATTGAACCTTTTGATGGGTACTTCAAACCATTACTGATTTACACCTCCGTCAACGAGTGTGAGGACCCTGTGTCTCCACGCCCTTACCTGATACTGAATATCCTTTAAAGCTGCCATCTCTCATGTGAAAAGTAATATCTTATTTTAATTTGCCTTTTAGTCATTTAGCCAGCAAAATTCCTGAATGCCTCACTATTAATGTGCTAGGCACAGAGAACACAGTTGGAAGCAGAGCGGCCCAGTCCAGCCCTGGTCCTCATAACAGTCTTATAGAAAGATAAATATTTGTGTGAGTACTTGATGAATGTGTAACTATGAACTGTGATGGGAAACGTAGATACTATGATGGGAAAGAAGAAAATATAAAGTAGCAATAAAAGGGAAAAGGAGCGTGTCCTGACCTAGGCTGGGAGGACAGGGAGAGTTCTCCTGCCCCAGAAGATTTGAAAGATACCTGTAGAAATTAACTAGATGATGAGAACAAGTGGTATTCCAGGTCAACAGAACACTGGTGCCAAGGCCCTGAGGCCTGGAGGGAGTGAGTCTTGTTCACAGAACTGAAGGATGCTTGTTGGAGAAAAGACAGCTAGGGAGGTTGGAGTATCAGCAGAGGCCAGGTCTTGCAAGACACTTGTGAAGATGTAAGTTTTGACCATTAGGTTCAAGGAAGATTCTAAAACAGTGAGTTAAATTGTCCAAGGCTAGGGTTGTTGAAGAGCTAGCTCTGGTCTACCAAATTTGCATTTATGGCATGTGTTTTCCAGGAAAGAGGGTTTGTCACCTAAAGGTCCTAAAGATGAAGCAATTTCAGAGAAGTTGGGAACGGTCTGTCTACAATCTCTTTTTCAGTACGGGGTCTAGGGAAGTTGTGGAATGGCCTGTAAGCAGTTAATCAGAGAGTAAGAGCTTGCCTGCAATAAGTCATGCCCTAGATAATGAGCCTTTTGCTGAAAACTGTGATTTTTGGGGGGACGGTGTCTTTTTGTGCTCAAAGTCAGAGAAGGTAGATAGACCGCATTTTAGTGCTTTCCTAATCTTTAGTTTAGCAAAAGCTCGTTCTACAGAGAAACTTTGAGGTCCTAATTGAGAACTTATGAAGAGTAAGGAACCACAGTTTATCTCTGAGGCATAATGATGTATGTATATGGCGGCTTCTCCCAAGGACAGGTGAACAGGTGTTCAGTGTTTGAATTTAAGAGAACAGGCTCTAAAGAAGGCAGAATGTAGATGCGCAGCTGTAAACCATGGCCTTGGGTGGAACTGGGGGAGAGAATAGTACTGGGCATTGTGGACCACTGGAATGTGGGGCATAATAGTCTTTTTAAAATCTATTATTTATTTTTTGAGTATAATCATCTTAAGGATAGCCCTGACGTGGTGAGTAAGCCTGTACACTCATTTATTGCTTATTTAATAGTCAGGATAGGTGTATTATAATTAATTAATTAATTATAACTATTATAATTAATTATAATTAAGTACTAGTGCAAAGTGAAATGAATCCTTTGCCTATTAATCCTTTTACTATGGGTTTTAATTCTTCCTTTCGTTCTGGCTTCAACAGTTACCACACAAGCCTGGGTAAAAGCAGGGATGGGTTGGTCTGAGCCTAGATGTGCTCAGCCCCAGTAACCCTGAAAATGGTGGTAAATTTCCAGTCCATTGGGATTCTAGT